GTGGACACCTATAGTCCCTAGTTGCAGGTGAGTCCTCTTGACCAAACGGTGCTTCGATAGAGCCGAACATCATCCTAACCCTCTGGTGGTAAGCGCAGCAAATTACCAACCCGACACAAACGCGAACATCAACAAGCGTACCCACAGCGGAGGGCCCAAACCAGTGGGTTCTGGCTAGCCTACCGGTTCTGCGTCAGATAAAGCTTTAATAGTCTCAGGACTGAAAGCAAAAACATCAGTTAATACAAAGGTGAGTCCTTACCTTAAAACTTAACAGTGGGCCCCTGTAAGTGCATAGTTATAAAACTGTTTATCTTTTGATCGGTCACGCAACAGTCTTCGCACGGATGGGCAGGTCCGTCCGTGGAAGTACCGCGAACTCATAGAAGGTCGACGTGAATTGGAAGTGTTATACTTCTGCGTTTCGTCTGGTGTGTGAGGCAGCCGGGGCCAAATTTATTAAAAGGTGGCAACGCATCTGCAACCATACGGTATTGCACATGTCCATTGGCGGCGGTTATAATTTAAAATCAGGTGAACCGCCAGCTCCTTTTCCATATTCCTACATAAAAAATACATATGGTATATAACAATACAGTTTACAGACTCTCGCTACGTTCACCCATAATAAAAGTCCGTTTCACGTTTCATTCGGAAGCGTTCAGCTTACAAACGTTCTCGTTCACAGTATTGACGCCATCCGCTGGAATGCCTCGGAATATTCGAAGGGGACTCGTCGGCCGAATCGGCGCCTGTAATACAGCCCATAGAAGCCCTCCCATCACTAATGACCCCGTCGTCCGCCCGCCCCCCAGTCTGTATAACGTTGAGAGTTATAATGAAATTGCGATAATGATTTCATTATTCCATCGCGGAAAATTCGCTTCAACTTTTATTTTAGTTTGTGCGCTGAATGTAATATATCGTTATTAGATTTTCACTTGAGACAGTTTATGTACCACCTGAGAGTATGTACACAAATTCTACTTCTATTCTGGTGCATTCAAGTAAGGGTAAGTTTGGATTGTTTTAACGTCAATTGCAGTTACTTTTTTTCTTATGTGAAAAGCTGCCAAACGAGCAGACGGTTCACCTGATGTTAAGTGAATACCGCCGCCCATGGACATCTGCTACACCCGAGGGTTACAGATGCGTTGACAACCTTTTGAAAATTGGGCTCCGGCTACCTCACGCGAATATCGTGAGCTTTCTTCGATTTGGGACGATAATCAGTCAGTCATCATGATGTTTATAAGAATCTTCATTTGCAGTTCTCTCTCTTCATTGTAAAGAGAGAATTTTTGTATATTAAATTGTACTGACTAAAGCGATTTTTAAAATAAGTTCATTTGAAAAATATAAGGATTAAATTCAGAGAACACATGTAATATTTTTTATGGATGTATACGCCCATGGCATTTCAAAACGAAATCGTACATATTATTAACATCATTCAATCATTTAAATGTAATTAAAAATTATCTTTATGCTTTAACACACAACAGAAACACACAAACTTCCACACTCATAACATTTGTTTGTTCTAAAAGAAGAAAGCTTCTCAAATCTTTTTTTATTTATTTTTTATTTATTTTCGATAGTAGAACAGCACTAATGCTGCAATATTACGATTCCGTTGCCCAATTGTTGGAAACATTGTTATTGGGAGCATTATTTCCGATCTTTAGGGAAGCGATGCGTAGAATTAGGAGAGGGACAAACTGCGTGCTAATACTTACGGCACTGCTGTGTATTCCACTCAATTGAAATGATAAAAAATCAATTGACGCACCTAATTGACTTCTTAAGCTCGGTGTTACCGTTGTCGTAATCGGATATCAGATTCTTCGGTTTTTACGTATTCTCTAAAGAGAATCAAGGAATAAATTTATGTATTCGTTTTATCCATACAGATATTAGTGCCTTTTGCAAACTGGATTGTGTAATTTCCCCCCAAAAAACTTATGTATAAAATTCTATAGTTCATGTTTTTATCTTGTATGTAAAATAAAATAATGCTCGCTTTTAACTTAATATAGCTACGAGTACATGAGCAACGTGGAATTAAATCCCAATGCCGGTACCAATCTACCAGCTCTAATTTATCATGCTCTTATTTATGATCAGCGCTAAAATAAAGCACCGTGAGGAAACCTGTATTTCTTTAATAAAATAATAAAAAAATATATTTCCATGATATGTGGAATTCTGCCAATCCACAGAAGCGTCGCGTGGACTAGGCCCTAATAATCTCTGTACAAAAAGATGCATTTGCCCTGTAGAGGGACATATGAGCTGTTACTTTACTATTCTTTAGTAAAATGTATGCGGGCGTGTGGCTGCATACCTTTAACCTCAGCAAGAATGACTATTTTGAACACTGATGAAGTATAGCTCTTTATCAGAACACGTGCACATACCTAAAATCCCTTCTACCTATCTCTATCGGTTAAAACACGACTGGAAGACCTGCCTCAAGGATTGACGCTAATTGACTTCAATCCTTAGCCCAAATAATAGCCGAGATTTGAACCCAAGATTAACGACTCGTCACTATTCTGGAGTTGTCATAGCTTCGCTCTGTACGTGATATAGAAACAAATGCTATGATGAGTTTGATTGTAATAAATTTACGAACGCAATTCAACGAGACATGGAAACCCCGACGACAGTTCTGCGGGGAATCCGGGGTAATCGAACAAACAACGATTCTTGCCGTCACAAAAAGTCACACAGCACAGTCCGGTCTTGTCCGCGAGATGATTGCGCGAATGGGCGAAAACGTCATTTAGTCGGGGCCTTGCGATTTGCGTCATCGCATTTCCACGATAGCGGAGTCATTGGGAGCGTCACGGTTCTCCTGTACATTACGTCAATTAATCAGTCGCGTTTCGACAGACTCGGTACAATTCATTGTTTGTCGGTTATTGTGATGGCTGCTATCGTGGCGACGCGGTTGTACTACGGTGACGTAACGCGCACAAGGTCTAATCGCGCTAGCGAAGTTTTCGTGAAACTTAACGTACCGAGTACTCAAGCTCCATGTCTGATGTTTAATTTGGCAGATAACAGAACTCTGTTCCAGGATATTGAACTTGATTCTTATGAGTTTGTTATGAAACAATCTCGATATATTATAATGTAGATTGCTAAAACACGAGCTGATGCAGTAGTGAAAGTAGTTTATTATACACCGAAGCGGTCAACTATGCAATTAATCTGTCTTTAACTAGTGAATTGTGCCGTTTTTCAACAGACTTTAAAAAAGGAGGAAGTTCTCAAATAAAAAAATAATTTATTTCTATAATCTTCGATACAATTTGTTGAAGAGTTTTCCCAGTAAATTGTCATACACCCTTGTTATGGGAAGGTTATCAATTCGGTTGTTTGTCACTGCCGATTTTGAAAATTATTTTTACATTAGGTTTGTTTTAGATTCCATGTAGTCCTATAAATTGATTGTTATAGGAACCTGTACTCCGGTAACACATCAGGGAATACTCCTCAAAATCAAGTAAAAAATTATACTGAGTGAGATAACTGAAGTCATTTGAGAAAAATGTACTTGTTTAAATGCCGGAAGGATCCAGGATAGTTCGTGAAAAAGCGAGTAGTTCGCTCACTCTTTCCCGTATTTGGAGTAAACACTGCACAACGGCTGAAACTGGTTCTGAACTCGGTGGCAGAAGCACGGGGATATTTATTAATACGGTTAATATGTGAGGCTATGACCTCACCCGCCCGTGTTTACACAAGCAAGCTCGCGTACCCACAACGCGGGCTCGATAAATTATCATTTACGATTTTCACATAAGATTTCTTTGTGCTCACATTAGTCTGATGAAGTTAAGTGCGGTCATTTCATAAGCGACCTCCACGGAAGGTTCGTCACGTACGGTTTATGAATTTTATTTGAGCGCTCAATAAGTCTTGTTAATCATATATACTAACAATATAAACTTTAATGAATAACATTATTAAAAACGAAGTAAATTACACGTTATATTTGGTTATATAAATGTCAAGATATGTCCATAATCTAAGCAAGTTGTCTAACAAACCCAGCCCACGCGACATGATGCCAAGAACGGCAGCTGCATTTTTGCTTGAATTGATCAAAATAATTATTTTATGAACATATTACTACAACCATTAAAAATCTTCAGTATAATGGCAGTTGTTTATATGGCGAGTAATTATAATAACTCTTATTATCTGATCGTCTTAGCGTTTTTGCTTCGGTTTGAACGCATATTTCCTTTCTCGTTTTTTCCAATTATTTTATCATTCTATGGTAAAGCGTTTTTACTGCACGCAGCGGCTTCTGTTGTTGCACGAATGGGCAGGCTCGTCCGGGGAAGTACCACGGCCTCACAGAAGACCAGCGTAAAGTGGAAGTATTACACTTTCACATTTCGTCCGGTGAGTGAGACAACCTGGACTATCTTTTAAAGGTCATCATCATATCTGCATGACCTCAGGTGTAATCGGACAACCTGGACTATCTTTTAAAGGTCATCATCATATCTGCGTGACCTCAGGTGTTCTGGATGTCTGTGAAGGAATTCACTTAACATCAGGTGAACCGCCGACTCGCTTGAAAAGTTAACACCCAAAAGGTAAATTTTCACATACAGATACATAAGCACGCAGATTCGCAGCAATTATCTGTGGGTCACACAGAAACTTGTCCCACGCGGGAATCTAAGCCATGCCAACAGCGCTGACTGCGCCACCGAACAGCAATCGACGTCTCTGTGTGCGTCCGTTAGAGTAAGTCATTTGCGAAAATGAAAATGTCAACATAACGGCTCCTTACACACAAACGTATTCAACAACACAAAAGCTTACGAGAAAAACAAATTTCGTAATAGATTCGCAGTTAATTCGACTTTAACACTTAAAATTTAATCTAATTAGATTTACCAGAAAACGTTGATATCGCAACTCTATTGCAGTCATCTCGAACCGATCGCAGGTTATAAAACGCATTCGCTTCACGGCTCGACGACAAAAGGCGCACTTCGAAATCGCTTCACGAAGGACATTGAGCACGAGTCGATTCGCTTCCGTAAAAGCAACAGTTCGCGCACCGAGTGTCTGCGGGTGTATTTCGAGGCGGTTGCGTAAGCGACCAGTCTCGACGGTTGCGCCGATGCTCTCGCGGCGACGGTTGCTCGCTCAAAAATGCACCGGCGGCGCAAGTGGGTCATACCTCTGGTGTCCGGAATGCCCGCGCCGCGCGTCAGCCGCCTCTGCTCAGTGAACATAGTGTTCGCACGTAAACAACGAGAAGAGCTGATCATCCTTTGAGTTCCCTTCTCAAAAGGAGAATCTTAAAAGGAGGGGAAACCACTTCAAAATGTTATAGTGACGCAAGTGTCTCGCCTCAGATACACGTCCCGTTGCGTACTTGATGCACATAGCATTTGGATATAAACAGTAGGAAAACGGCTAGGGCGAAAAGAGCCCAAAAGTTTTACTATAATAATAATAATAATAATAACTTCTCCGCCGCCTGGATAGACTACAAAAAGGCATTCGACTCTGTGCCCCATACATGGCTAAAGAGGGTCCTCGAACTGTACAAAGTAGACTGTACAGTAAGAGACTTCCTCGGGCACTGTATGGGGCAATGGAGTACGATCCTTTGTCATCTAGGCGAGCGGATGACGGCTGCGGAATACCGGATAAGGATACGACGGGGTATTTTCCAGGGCGACTGTTTGAGTCCGATATGGTTTTGCCTCTCCCTGAATCCTCTCAGCGTGTTACTGGGGGGGTCGGGGGAGGATTTCAGCTTCGGAGAGGAGGGACAAAAGTGACCCACCTTTTCTATATGGATGACCTCAAATTATTCGCCTCCAATCGCTCCCATTTGATGGAATTGCTTAAAGTCACTTGTGATTTCAGCAATTCTATCAAAATGGAGCTCGGGACGGATAAGTGTGCGGTCCTTCATGTCGAAAGGGGTAAGGTCACTAATACGGAGGGCATAGACTTATCTATGCCCGTTAACATAAGGACCCTCTCTGAGGCTGAAACATACCGATACCTGGGTATGTCACAAAACATGTGTATCGATGAGGCTGGCATGAAACAGTCAGTTCGTGATGTGTTTTTTTGCACGTCTGACAAAGGTGTTGAACAGCCATTTGTCAGGCGTGAACAAGGCACGCGCATTTAACGGCTGGGTCATGCCAGTCCTCATGTATACCTTTGGCATACTCAGGTGGACACAAACTGAGCTCAATGCCCTGGACCGAAAAGTCCGCACAACTATGACGTCCCACAGGATGCATCATCCGAGATCGTCAGTGATGAGGCTGTACCTGCCGCGGAAGCATGGCGGGAGGGGCTTTTTGAGCGCCCTTACCATGCACAATCGCGAGGTGTGCAGCCTCCGTAACTACTTCCTGGCGAGATCGGATGATTCAATCTACACAGACGTCATTAGTTGTGATAAAGGACTTACCCCTCTATCCTTAGCCAACGAGCAATGGCAGGACCCGGGAGTACTGAGCGTTTCCGACCGGGAGGCCGTATGGAAGGAGAAAGAGCTCCACGGGAGGTTCTACAAGGCCCTACACGAGCCTTTCGTAGATACTACTGCCTCCCTCAACTGGCTACGTTTCGGTGACCTCTTTGGGGAAACCGAAGGTTTTGTCTGTGCGATACAGGATCAGGTTATTAAGACGAACAACTATCGGAAATACATCCTAAGGGATGGCACCGTCGACATCTGTCGAGCTTGTCGCCATCCCGGGGAGTCGCTTCGGCATGTTATTTCCGGTTGTTCCATGCTTTCTAACTCTGAGTATCTGCATAGACACAACCTAGTAGCCAGAATCCTACACCAGGAGCTCGCTCTGAAATACGGCCTCGTGGATCGGAAACTGCCGTACTATAAGTACTCTCCGGAGGCCGTGCTCGAAAATGACCGCGCCAGGCTCTATTGGGACCGGCCCATCATCACGGACAGGACGATTGTCGCGAACAAACCTGACATCGTGGTGATGGACCGGGCACAGTCGCGGGTATTTTTGGTCGACATTACCATTCCATATGACGAGAACCTCGTGAAAGCCGAAACAGATAAGAAGACGAAGTATCTGGACCTGGCTCACGAGGTGACCGACATGTGGGGTGGTATGCCGACCGAAATTATCCCGATAGTCGTGTCTGCGAATGGGTTAATCCCAGTCAGCCTCTCCAAACATCTGAGGCGACTGGGACTCCGGGACGGATCGCTCCAAGCTTAAATGCAGAAGGCGGTGCTCCTCGATACCGCCCGCATCGTCCGCCGGTTTCTCTCCCTATCGCCCTAACCCTCGGTCGTTTGGTCTCCCCTGCCGAGGGCTTCCGTCTGGTTGGGGTCCTATTTATATATGTATTATATACAACATTATATGTATATGTTTATTTTTATTCATAATATTTATTTTATACATATATGCAATATGTATCTATATTTTTATTTTTATTTATAAACCCAACCAGACGAGAAAACAAATGAATATCACCCCACATAATAATAAAATATCTTTATTCACATAGACGCTTGCGCGTTCTTATGAAACGTCAAAATTTTACAAGAAATGAACACGTTCGTAAGTTACCACCGGTTCGGAAGGCAGTTTCTGTTGAGAAGAAACCGGCAAGAAACTCAACAGTTGTTGTACTTAAATCATTCTTGACGTTAAAGATACGGTAATGCAGTTGCTATGTTAGCTTCGGTGCAGGGAGTTGTCCCTACGATTCTCTTGAGTGCGACAGTAAACTGTTGCGGATTTAGATTTTTATCTCCAAGGAGGGTTGACGTCAAACAGCCGGTCGTAAAAACCAAGCCAAAATTATTATTAAAACCAGAATTCACATGTTGTAAAGACCCCACCTAGGTGGGATAAGGACAGGAGTAAGAAGAAGATTATGATGATTAAGATGTAAAATCCCAAAGCGAGAGTAAAATCTAAAGAATTTTGTTATGTCTAAATACATTTCATTTGACACACTAAAACGCTACGACGCTCCTTGGACAAAGCACAGTCACTGCGATGCATTCCACTTTATGAACTCCGCACTGGCAACGGTACCATCAAGTGATTTATGGACCGTTGGCGCTCCATCTACCCCGCAGCAAGCGCAATTGAGGTTATAATAATTTGTATGCCGCATATACTGAATATCTCGAACGCATCTCGCGCACAAATCACCTACGCGATTCGGTTACTTGTGGCTTCGCCATCATTGGACTGATATACCCACGTTACGTCAGAATTTTCAAACCGACTTCTGGTCCCAAGGATGAAAGCCTAGGAACTGCTGATTTATCTCATCCCACAGGCGTTTCAAAATCCTTGACAGCATCTCCATTTTCTATTACATGTTCTAGTTAGCACTGTTAACTGAAATCCGGTGACAATTCATTTTCATCAGGTGCCCCTTCATCGAATCCTTACTAATATTATAAACGCGAAAGTTTGTATGTATGGATGGATGTTTGTTACTCTTTCACGCAAATACTACTAAATGGATTAGATGAATGAAACTTTCCAATAATATAGCTTAAACATCAGAATAACATACGCTATAATTTATATACATATTTTATGTATATCTATTTGAATGTTACGCCTTCAGCCTATTCTACGCAGACATAGTCGCGGGCAGCAGCTAGTAATGTAATAAGGCGCGCTCCCAATGCTCTGTAAAAACGATACCGATTATATAAGCAAATGATAAGCGGTCATTGTTACTGATATCGATCCATCCTCGTCGAAATCAATATTTAAGTGATTCGTCCAACAGTGCTAATACTTCGTCCGATATGACCGATATCGGTGAATATATTTAAACGGATACAACAGCATTGATATAACAATTTAGGTTCACCGATTGTGTGTAGATTCGATCCCCGCACGGTACTTGTCTAATCCATAAACAATTGTTAGAGTCTTTGAACTTTTTCACATATTTGTGTAATCACTGTCTACATAGTAATTTCCTTAATATTTTCATTTTTAAAACAATAACGAATTACTTCTTTAGATATGCTTTAACTTGTGCATAATTTAAGACTAAGTCACAATACTTTAAATAGGCTTGTGACTATTATTTCACAAGCCTATTTAAAGCGAAAGTATAAAGTATTCTAACATATTTTATGTAAATAAATAGTATCCGTTCAAAGTTTCATAAAATAATACAAACTCTAAAATTTTAAAAGTTTAATTTTAACAGTTAATCTGGAAATCTAGACACGAGTCTTAAGCGTTATTCCTAGAAGCATGGACAGTTATGCAGAATCTTCATTCAACGATGAATGTTAAGCGTAGGCACAAGTAAGTCTAAATTTAATCATATGATGTTGACCGATATTAAAAATTAAAGTGAAGTATCAGAGAAAGCAGTAAACAGTTCCCTTATTTTGTCATACTAATCCGAATAGATCGGTGGAAACATTTCGTCCTGAAATATTAGTAGTTCGTGATGTAAATGTAATAAGCTCAGATGCCTGATGGTTCATGAAATAAGAAAACTATAACTATGAGAAAAAAAAATGCTACGACGTAATTTGATCACATACAGCTCTAAAAACTTCATTGCTTACTTACATATATTCCTTTTTTCACCGAGTGTGGATTATTATTTTACAAATCAATCAATAATTTACTTCAAAAGGATGTAATAACAACATTTTAATGACTTTCTTTTCTTCATCCGTTCTTATCACGAGACAATATACAATTTCTATGACGATAAAGATAGTGTGTATATTTGCGTCGGATTTTTTATCACTGTACAATTATATTTCAAGGTCCTCGCCCACCCGTACACACGTGTGCAGACTAGTGTGCATTTGTTTATATGTTAGAGTGGAACGATAAAGCAAGTGGCGACCGATTGTCTGATATTTTTAATGAAAATGCCATACCGATGACGTCGATACACAAACATTGGCGTATAGATGGGATACAAGCACTTTCAAACGCATTGAACCACAAATGATTTTATCTTCATCATCATAATCCGCCAAGCTAACAGAAAACCACTTACACAAATAAAATCATCATCACCATCCTGAGGTAGCCCACTGATGGATTAAGGATTAGAGAGAGTCCAGAAGACCGACCGTAGCAGTGACAGAGAGAGGCAGAATCCGCGTCTCTACGCTTATAGCCTAATAATTTGAAGTGTTTCAATAAAATAATTGACATAAATATACTATATTAAGTATATTATCCAGAGTATATTATCCAGCCTAGCCCGTAATCATTGTGCAATCCAAAATTTATAACAGTCATGT